CCTTGTTCTTATTCTGGTCAAACTGTGGTTTTCCATATCATTCTATTATTTAGTTTCCCTACTCAATGTTATTTTTGATTTCATAACGTTCTCTCTCATTTTGTTTCTTTTCCCAATTCTCTTTTTCTTGCACACTTCTATAGTTCTGTTTGTAATTTTTATTTTCGATCTCTACATAGATATCATTCTGGTTTTCTATCAAATTCTCATTCTCCTTTCATATTCTTCTCCTTCTCATTTTCCACCTCAGTCTCGGTCTTCTTACAGCTCTCATACCATCACTTCCATTTGCGTTTTCCTTTTCGATTTTATTCTTGCTTCTGTAGCGTTCTCAGTTTCATCTTGGGATCTTTTATAGTTCTTATTCTCATTTTGTTTCAGAACCTTATTTTCATGTTCAAACTTCATCTCATCCTCTTTATTTTCCTCATTGTGGCGTCTGTTCAATTCAATTCTCGATTGTATTCTTAGTTTCCCTTCTTATTCTCGTTTTCCACCTGGTTCTCGATCTTCTTACAGCTCTCATTCTATCATTTTCATTTGTGTCTTTCTTCTTTATTAATTTTATTTTTGCTCCTATAGCTTTCTTGATTTCCTTTTCGGACCTTCCTAGTTCCACTTCTCATTTTCTTTGGGTACCTTACTTTCATTTTCATATTCCTTCTCATACTCAATCTCTTTACTATCCTCATTCCCGTTTCTAACTCCTTGTATCGTTCTCATTCTTGTTTTACTTGTTCTTCTCTACCTTGTTCTTATTCTAGTCTAACTGTGGTTTTCCATATCAATCTTTTCTTTTAGTTTCCCTTCTCGATTTTATTCTTGGTTTCATATAACGTTTTTTCTCATTTTGTTTCTATCCCAAATTTCTTTTTTTTTCCACACCGTATTCCTGATTGTAATTTCTCTTTTCAATCTCTGCATAGTTTTTTCATTTGTTTTTTCTTCTTTTTTAATTTAATTTTTGCGTTCACTTCAAGATCTTATTTTCATTTTCATACTCCTTCTCATTCTCAATCCCTTTACAATCCTCTTTCCCGTTTCTAACTCTTTTTATCGTTCTCATTCTTGTTCTACTTGTTTTTTTTACCTTGTTCTTATTCTGGTCAAACTGTGTTTTTCCATATCATTCTATTATTTAGTTTCCCTACTCAATTTTATTTTTGATTTCATAACGTTCTCTCTCATTTTGTTCCTATTCCCAATTCTCTTTTTCTTGCACACTTCTATAGTTCTGTTTGTAATTTCTATTATCGATCTCTACATAGATATTCTGGTATTATTTCAAGTTCTCATTCTCATTTCATATTGTTTCACATCTCGACTTCTTTATTGTTCTCTTTTTCGTTTCCCAATTCAATCTCAGCTTTTTTATAGCTCTCATTCCATCATTTTTATTTGGGTTTTCCTTTTCGATTTCATTCTTGCTTCTATGGCGTTCTCAATTTCACTTTGGGATCTTTTATTTTAAATTATAAATAAATTATAAATTTTATTGACTAACAGAACAAAGTTCCAAAATAGACAATAGTTTTAAAAAACAGAATATGAAATAAGATGTCCTTATAACTACAAACGTCTTAAATAATTGTTAAACATATGTTGCGAGCAACTGAAAATATCTATATCTACTAAGTTATTAACCGCCAAACCTATTCTTTTTACTACAGAAGTGTTGTAACCGAGATTTGTTCTTTTAATCGAACATAAGATTGTGTCCTGGTTCCTAGTATGTACCAAAGGTACTCTAAAATTAAATAAGGATAAGAATTTTCTTTCAGGATTTTATTTTAATTTTCTTACTCAATCTCATTATTATCCTAATTCCCGTTTCTAACTCTTTCTGTCGCTCTCCTTATTCTATTTGTTCTTTTCTACTCTGTTCTTATTAGAGTTTATCTGCGGTTTTTCATATCCTTCTCCTTTTGTTTCTATTGCTAAATTTCTTTTTCTTCTGCATAATAGTCATGATTGACATTCTATTTTCAATTTACACATGTTCTCATTCTCGTTTCCCACCTTGTTCTCGATCTTCTTACAGTTCTCATTCTCATTTTCATTTCTGTTTTTCTTCTTAATTTCAGTCTTGCTGCTATAACATTCCCAATTTCATTTTCGCTCCTTTTATAGCTCTCATTTTTATTTTCCTTCAGGATCTTATTTTCATTTTCATACTTCTTCTCATTCTGAATTTCCTTACTGTCCTCATTCCCTTTTCTAACTCTTTTTTTATCATTCTCATTCGTGTTGTGGTTGTTCTTTTCTACTTTGTTCTTATTCTAGTCTAACTGTGGTTTTCCATGCTTTTCTCTTTTCTAATTTCCCTCCTCAATTTTATTCTTGATTTCATGACGTTCTTTCTCATTTTGTTTCTATCCCTAAATTTCCTTCTCTTCTGCACTATGGTTGTGATTGTCATTTCCATTTTCACTTTCTCTATATGGTTCTCAATCTCGTTTCCCATCTTGTTCTCGATCTTCTTACAGTTCTCATTCTCGTTTTCATTTCTGGTTTTCTTCGTAATTTTAGTCTTGTTGCTATAGCATTTTCAATTTCATTTTCGGAGCTTTTATAGTTCCCATTTTTATTGACCTTCAGGATTTTATTTTCGTTTTCATACTTCTTCTCATTGTGAATCTCTTTACTATCCTCATTCCAATTTCTAACTTTTTTTATCGTTCTCATTCTTGTTCGGCTTGTGTTTCTCCACCTTGTTCTTATTCTAGTCTGTCTGTGGTTTTCCACATCATTCTCTTTTTTAGTTTCCCTTCTCGCTTTTATTCTTGATTTCATAACGTTCTTTCTCGGCATGTTTCTATTCCTAATTCTCTTTTTCGTCCACACTTGTATAGTCCTGTTTGTAATTTTTATTTTCGATCTTGCATATATATCATTCTGGTTTCCTTTAAAGTTCTCGTTCTCCTTTCATATTCTTTCACGTCTCGATCTGTTTATTCTTCTCCTTCTCGTTTTCACCTCATTCTCAGTTTTCTTACAGCTCTCATTCCATCATTTTCAGTTGGGTTTTCCTTTTGGAATTCATTCTTACTTCTATAGAGATCTGAATTTCATTTTGGGATCCTTTATTTTCTTTCAGGATCTTATTGTCATTGTGTACTCCATCTCATTCTCCCCGTTATCCTTATTCCCGTTTCTATCTCAATCTATCACTCTCATTCTTATTCTACTTGTTCTGCTTGTTCTTCTCTACCTTGTTCTTATTCGAGTCTAACTGTGGTTTTCCATATCATTCTCTTTTTTAGTTTCCCTTCTCAATTTTCTTCTTGGTTTCATAATGTTCCCTCCGATTTTGTTTCCACTTCTAGCTTCCTTTCTTTTTTGTCTTCCACACTATAATCCTAGTTGTCTTTTCCATTTTCGATCTCTAGATTGTTCTCATTCTGGTTTTCTTTCAAGTTGTTATTCTCCTTTCGTATTCTTTCACATCTTTGTGTTTATTGTTCTCTTTCGCGTTTCCCACCTCATTCTCAGTGTTCTTATAGCTCTCATTCTATTATTTTCATTTACGTCTTCGTTCTCGATTTCATTCTTGCTTCTATAGCGTTCTCAATTTTACTTTCGAGCCTTTCATAGTTCTCATTCTCACTTTCTTTCAAGATCTGATTTTCACTTTCGTACTTTTTCTCATTCTCTCTATTATCCGCATTTCCGTTTCCAATTCTTTTGAAATTTCGAACACACATATTAAACTTTTATACAAACATGTTTTAAACTGACTGATGAAAAGTTCAGCTACGAAATGAGAAACTAATTGTCCACCAATGTGGAAAAATTGTACGTTGAACTGAAAAATATCGCATTATATACAGACAGTTCTTAACTCAATCAGCTTGGTGATTCCAAGCGCTATTTATTAGCATATCTGCAAAATTTATTCCGATTTGTTAAAAAACGAGCTTGCACTGACGAAACAGCAACTCTTCATCCTGCATAATAATCTCTTTGATGCGATTAAAGAATTTTATTGATTTTTTGCACCACACTTAATTGGTTTAGGCGGAAGTTATTAAATTAGTTGGTTAATCACTCGGAAACTTTGGAAGTAAGCCAAAAGTGTCTTCTCTTGCCTTCGCTTACCCCTCAATCACCAAAGAGTTAGAAAGTGAGAGATCAAGATGAAGCCTCCAAAATCTCTTAGAAAAGTCGAAGAGTAAACTAAAGTCCAACGGAAAGTCAGGGATTTAATTGTAAAAACCGTCGCCAAAAATAAGTCAGTAAATCAGTGTCCATCAATTTTACCAAATTATGATGTTGCAACAAATCAGTCGCACTAAAATTTTGTGGGTAGCATAAAACATTCGGGAAACGTGTTAAACCCCTTGAATGAATTTTTAACTCGGCTGGCGTCTCGTAAAAAAACACCACGTACATAAATAACTGTTATATATTTATAGAGCGCAATCAACAAAATCGTTCTCTAGCTGGCCATAGAAGAACAAACTGTGTTTCTCATCATCAGTCACGCACAATAGGGACCGGACAGACAGATCATCCAACCCAAACTAAAGGACGATTTTTATTGGTATTGAATTTTTTCGTTTTGCAAATGATCGAACGTCAGAAATTACTTCGGTTACTTTGAAATTCTAGTCATGAATATTTCAAAGACGGTAAAACGCTAGACTAAAGTTGTCTACATTATCTCAAAACTTCTATATTTAGCGGCAGACTTTGGAGACATAGTTCTGTAAAATATCATATATTTTTTAGTGTTTCATTAAGGTTTGTTTATGATATTCAGACGATGTCTGAGTTTATTAAAATTTATGAAGAAGTTAAATTGAAAAACACAGTGTTTAGATTAAAGCGTAACTGATATATTATTTACCGTCCTAACTTTGTAATAATTACACTTTGAATTTGATACTTTTGGTAAGCACGTTAATGTTGAACCAATTTCCACATACTTAACTAATTCCTTTATAATTTATTAATACTTAGCCAAAAAACAATTACCCCAACGTATTAATTAATTCTAGATAAACCCATCCACCCCAGCCACCCCCAACGCCACATGCGTCAAGAAGTCATCTACGGCTACATCACCGGCACCGTCAACCTCACCTGCGTTGCCATCGCCAACCCCCCCGCCACCTTCGAGTGGAAAGTCAAAGACAAGAAGGCTAAAATCGGCAAGATCATCAACGAATCCCTCGAAGTGTCAATTCTGCAACTTCACATCTACAACAAATCGGCTTTCGGCAACTACAAGTGCATAGCCAAGAACAAACTCGGCAGCTACGAAGAGAACTTCACCCTGAAGGAAGGGGTGAAACCCGTGTCTCCTAGCAACATCGAAATGAAGGAATCTGCCACGAAATCGGCCATTTTCGAAATCGTAGGCCCTAACCGGACGCTCGAGATGGATTTGGACACACTTGGGTTCAGTGTGCAGTTCCGGAAGATTGATGAGGAGGAGTGGCAGCAACGGGATTTCAATATTACGAAAAGTAGGAACGGATAAGTAAGGTGTATGAATAATGGCGTTGTTGTTTCAGATAATCTGTACACTTTGGATAACCTGGAGCCCGATACAGAGTACGAACTTCAGGCTGCTACCAGGAATGCTGCGGGTTTGAGCGACTATTTGCCCTCCAGTCGCTGGAAGACGTCTGGAGCGGAGTCAGCTCGTTTGTCCATGGCTTTGCTGTACAGTGTTGGGGTTGTAGTCGTCTTGAATTTCCTGGCTTCTTGGTGATGAAGTGGTGACGCAGAATGAGAACGAAACCGGCAATATACTTCATTGTAATATACGTATGGCTATTCTCTTCCGGTTCCTCCGGTTATCTATGCATAACGTTCCGTTCGACAGTTGTAATGTCATCATATCACTATTTCATGTCGTCACTTAATGTCATTCCAATCGATCAAAGACACGATTTTCATTTCGGTACGTACATAATGGATTGTGATGAATTAGTGTACAAGGTGAGGCCACTAGCTGGACTGGACCATTTTAGCAAGACAAGTGGGTTAACGGAGTTAACACTCCTCTGGCCTCGCCATGTACAGGCAATTATTATTTAACTAAGTGCAATTTTGTAAATATAATTTAGTATTTTTTGAGTCCTTTAGACCTGTTTAGTCACTTCTTCATTGTACATAGTTCCATGTGTGCTATTTGTTGACAAATGTGCCAATGTTATACAAATGAATGTTGCATTATCGGTGTAGCTGTTTTGGGTTAGTGTGGCTTGAGGATGGTTGACAATAAGTCGAAACTGTAGAACCGTTACACTTACAAAGACATATTTTCATTGTGAACCAAATTCTATATGCACCTAGTATCAGAATGTTCGACGGTTATAATTCTAAGAGTTTATCGCTTTTAATTGTATACAGAGAGATGTGATGGATTAATTTTGTTGTCTAGAAAGTAAGAGTTGTTTATTCCGCTTTGATAAAGTTCCACACGGTGTCGAAGCGGACAGGTCTGTATAAATAAATTTGTTTTTCTATAAATCTCGTTTAATTGCTCCCTTGCTCAGACGAATGGGATCTGTTGTCATCAACTGGCTCACTTTACGGGAATTCGAGCTCGAACGCTGCGAATTACGCCACGACCACAACACAAGACAGTGATGGAGGCAAAACAAGAGAATAACGTAACGTGACACATGCGTTCTTTGAAACTGTACTACCTGAATTAAGACCTTAAATCCAATTACGACGTCAGCGATATGACTTATGACATTTGATGAAATTAGGCTGCAAACAAAGCTAAATCTACGAATATTTTGCTCTCTTATTGTACAGTGCTCCCCAAAAGCGCAGCAATTTAAATTGTAGTTTGGGCTATAACTTGACATTTTTTATTAAAAAAAGTATCATTTGTTGTGATAAAAAAAATTTCATTGAGTATTTAAGTTTTTGAATTTGTTACGTGAATTTCCGTCCTGTACAAATATATGCGCAGTCGGTGGCTGTGACTAATGTAAGGGAGGGTTGAAAGCGCAGTGAAAACGACGGCGAGAAAGTTGTAGCGGTGGTGGTCTCAAGAAAAATTGGTGCAGAGTTTTAAGTAAAGTTTAAAAGCAAAAATAGCCACTCACACCATAAATTTACGTTGAAGAAGACAAGTGTGCTTAGGGATCGAAACAGCAATACTAATTTATTACAAACTGGTTTTAATACATACAGAGAAAATTTGACTTCAGAATAAAATTAATCAAAAGAAAAAATTTTGCCATAAATTCAAGAATTGTATTTTTAACGTCTATTCCAGTATGCGGATAAAGTTGAAAAAGATAAATAATAACGTTAATGTCCCTAATTTCGTTATTCCGCCTGGTATCGTTCTGGAATTTGCTCTCTTCTGTAAATCGAACCTCTGGGACACGAATCCGGCCTTTTTATAAATTTTTTCCATTGCGCATCATCTATCCCAGAAAGATCTCACTCGATTGGTAGTTTTTCAAAGTGAAATAAATCCCGATTTTGGTCTTGAACTCAACTACTGAGACCAAAAAAATCAAGGAATCAATTGGCTATTCCGGAGCTATTAACCTGTATGCTGGAAAAAACCCAACTAGAACAATTGCTTTTCAGGTGGAACTCGAGGAGATATTTTGTAATCGATTTCAGAAATAGATTCAGCGATGAAATATTAGCTAGGAACACAATTTTCAAGTTTATCTGAAGACTTTTATTTTTTCGCCAAATTTTTCTTTCGTAGAGAACCCGGAAATCATGTGGTTCTAATTTCTTTGTAACAACAGATATTCGTTTGAAATTTCGTACTTTTAGGACATCAAACCTCCGGAACACGAATCTGGTGTAAAAAATATTTACAAAGTCTCCTGATTTTTTTTTCAATTTTTTCCATTGCATCACCTATCCCAAAAAGATCTCATGGGATTGGTAGTTTTCTCAAATTAAAATAGATCCTGATTTTGGCCTGAAAGTCGACTACTGTAAAACCCAATTGAAACAACTGCTTTCAGAGATTCAATGATACAAAGTTAGCTAGGAACTCAATTTTCAAGTTTATCTGAAGACGTTTACATTTTCACCAAATTTTGCTTCATAGAGGACACACGAAATTTTTCAGAAGTTGATCATCTGGTTCTAATTTCTTTGCACCAGCAGATATTTTTCTGAAATTTCGTCCTTTTAGTGAATCAAACCTCTGGAACTCGAATTCCGGGTCAAAAAATATACAAAGTCCCCTGATTTTTTTTTCAATTTTTTCCATTGTATCACCTAAGTATTCCAAAAGACACAATTCGATTGATAGCTTTCTCTAACATAAATAAATTCGGATTTCGAGGTGAAAATCAACTGTCACAATAAAAAAAAGTCAAAGAATCAGGTGTCCTCAAAATTCTAGTGCTGTGCTTGACCATTCCGGAGTTATATGCTTGCAAATGGGAAAAAAATCGTTAATTGAAACAACCTCTTTTGAGATGGAGCTCGAGCGATGTCAAGTTAGGAAGACACCCAATTTTCAAATTTATATGAAGACTTTCACTTTTCCGCCAAATTTTGGTTTTATACACGACACCGGAAATTTTTCACAATTCGGTCATGTGGTTCTAATTTCTTTGCACCAGCAGATATTCTTCTGAAATTTCGTCCTTTCCGTACATCGAGCTTCCGGAACACGAATCCGGTGTTAAAAAATATTTACGAAGCCTCCTGATTTTTTTTTCAATTTTTCCAGCGTATCATCAAAAGACACCATTCTATAGATAACTTTCACAAACTAAAAGAAATGAAGATTTTGGAGTGAAAATCAAATGCTGCTACTAAAAAAACCGAGGAGTCAATTGGCCAAATATTTCTAGTGCTGAGCTTTATCCTTCCGGAATTATGTGCTTGTAAATTCGGAAAAAGTCCTTTTATTTTTTCACCAAATTTTTGCTTCGATCATTTGGTTTGAAATTATTGATATCGGCAAGTATCCTTCTAGAATTTGATCTCTTCTGTAAGTCATGTCTCCGGAATACAAATTCAGAGTCAAAAAGGATCGGCGAAATTTCCCCATTTTTTTTTTTTATTTTTTTGCATTGCATCATCTGTCCTAAAATGACACCATTCAATTAACAGCTTTATCAAACTAAAATAAATGAAGATTTTGGAGTGAAAATTAACCTGCTGGTACTAAATAAATCAAGGAGTCAATCAGCCTACAATTTCAAGTGTTGAGCTTTATCATTCCGAAATTATGTGCTTGTAAATTGAAAAAAAGTCCTTAATTGAGAAACGGCTTTTCAGGTGGAACTCCGGGAGATACCTTGTAATTCATTTCAAAAATCGATACAGCGATGTCCATTTAGATGAGAATCTAATTTTTAGATTTATTTCAAGACTCACTTGTTTGCCAAATTTTTGCTTCACCGGAAATTTATCAGAATTCGGTCTTGTGCTTCGAAATGATTTATATTGGCAAGTATCCTTCTAGAATTTGGTCTCTTCTGTAAATCAAGCCTTCGGAATACGATTTGGAGCTCAAAAAGTATCTGCGAAATTTCTTAATTTTTTCTCTCTGTTGTTAAAGCTCTGTTTTTTTTTCATCTTTCATGCTGAATCGAAATCTTTTTCTTCTTCATCGAGGTACTTTCACTATTTTTTGTTGTAATTTTTCCAAATTCATACATTTTCCCGTGGTTTTTCGAACCATTTTAATTATTATAGAAATGACTTTCCAAATTTGTTTTTCGAGTTGTAGGTTATTATTTTTTTCCTCTTCTGTCTTAAATCGACTTTTTCTCTTCCTTTTCAAGGTCCTTACCTTTTCTATTTCTTTCTTATTTGGAATGTTTTGCCTGTTCGTCCTAATTTTTCCAAATCCGTGTGGTACTGCCTAAGAAATTTTAGTTTTCATTTATGGTACCATTTCCATTTTAGAAATTATTTTATTCCCAGATAGTTTCTCTAGCTATAGATTTTTTTTCCTCTTACTTGTTGAACCGCTCTTTTTTCTTCTTTAGTGAGGTAGGTATTTGTTTTCACAGTTTCTTGATGTTTCCGATTTTCTAGTCTTTTGTTTGTAGTATTTTCAAATTCGTAAGGTACTACCTAAAATTTTTTACTTTAATTTGTCGTACTATTTTCAATATAGAACCTTTTTGCTTCCAAACTGTTGTTAAAGCTATGCTTTTTTTTCATCTTTGATGCTGAATCGAAATGTTTTTCTTCCTCACCCAGGTACTTTCACTATTTTTTGTTGTACTTCTTCCAAATTCATAAATTTTCCCGTGGTTTTTCGAACCATTTTAATTATTATAGAAATGACTTTTTCTAAATTTGTTTCTCGAGCTCTAGGTTATTTTTTTTTCCTCTTCTGTCTTAAATCGACTTTTTTCTCTTCTTTTTCAAGGTACTTATCTTTTCTATTTTTTTCTTGTTTGGCTATTTTTTTGTCTGTCCGTCCTAATTTTTCCAAATTCGTGTGATACTACGTAAGAAATTTTAGTTTTAATTTATGGTACCATTTCCATTCTAGAAATGATTTTATTCCCAGATAGTTTCTCTAGAGATATAGCTTTTTTTTAGTCTTATTTGTTAAATGGCTCTTTTTTTCTTCTTTAGTGAGGTATTTGTTTTCACTCTTCCTTGATGTTTCCGATTTTCTAGTCTTTTCTTTGTAGTATTTTCAACTTCATAGGGTACTACCTAAAAATTTTGACTTTAATTTGACGTACCATTTCCACTATAGAACCTTTTTGTTTCCAAACTGTTGTTAAAGCTATGTTTTTTTTTTTCATCTTTCATACTGAATCGAAATCTTTTTTTTCTTTACCGAGGTACTTTCACTATTTTTTGTTGTAATTTTTCCAAATTTATAAATTTTCCCATGGTGTTTCGAACCATTTTAATTAATATTATGGAAGTGACTTTTCCAAATTTGTTTTTCGGGTTATAGGTTATTACTTTTTTTCCTCTTCTGTCTTAAATCGATTTTTTTTCTCTTCTTTTTCAAGGTACTTACCTTTTCTATTTTTTTCTTGTTTGGCTATTTTTTTGTCTGTCCATCCTAATTTTTCCAAATTCGTGTGGTATACTACCTAAGAAATTTTAGTTTTAATTTATGGTACCATTTCCATTCTAGAAATGATTTTATTCCCAGATAGTTTCTCTAGCTATAGCTTGTTTTCCATCTTACTTGTTAAATCGCTCTTTTCTAGTTTTTCTTGGTGGTATTTTCAACTTCGTAATGTACTACCTAAAATTTTTTAATTTAATTTGTCGTACCATTTCCACTATAGAACCTTTCTGTTTCCAAACTGTTGTTAAAGCTATGTTTTTTTTTATCTTTCAAGCTGTCCTAAAAACACACTATGTGATTCATAGCATTCTTCAAGATTTTGGTTCGAAAATCTATAAGAAAATGTATTTGGTTTCGAAAATATCAAAAATTGGCCGAAATTTGAGGGAGGAAAAATTTTACTAAAGTTGTCTAAAAATTCTGAAAAAATTCGGGAACACATGCCGATTCCAAAAATATAGCGGTTAATGCT